TTTCTAGAGAGTAAATTCCCATTGGTAGATATTTATAAGCTATATATTAGCAAAATGAATTTTAAGGAGAGTTTTGTTCAATGTCAGTGATGAACCCTTTATGCTTATTGAAAATGAATTTACTGTCTTGCTTTACTTTTAAAAACCTCTAAGTTAAAATTCATTCTTTCGTACCAGTATATTAATAATTTCATGCCTATCCTGTTTGTTCTCAGTTATTTAAGTCTGTCCTTGTCCAACTTCAAGTTATAATCCTCTTGGATACTGGACTCATTTCCAAATTTATAAAATCGTAATTTAGTGCCTATTTCATGAGCATTCAGTGAATAAATATTGTGAGCATTATTTCTGCTACTCTATTGTCATTGTTATAGAGGTATTTTGGTAGTTTCCAATATACTATTTCTCAAATAGTAGAGGATGCAGTAGATCAGTCAGGGTTTTATGAGCAGAGGAGCAGGATACATGTCAGGAATATTTTAAATAACAATATAATTTTAAAAGAACTAGATTAGGAAAGGGTTAAAAATTTCCTGATATTCATAGGCTCATATATTGTTGCAGATCTTTTTATGTAAATGTATATGTATATACTTTTTTATATATACTTTTACATATAATATTGCATATTATATATTTGAACATTTGTATAAAATTCCCAATGTAAACTTTAGTGTTGTAAATAAAAGAAATATTCAGCTTTGAAAATTGAATGATTTGAAGTCAAATTTGAGGCCCAGAATTATTCAAACATTTCAAATTTACAAATCTCCATTAAAATGGAAATTTGATAATTATTGATAACTATTTGAAATTTTATTCAGAGGATTAATGGTTCTAATATACCTAAATGTTCTTATATCATGACTTATTTACATAGAATACAAGCAAAAGATGTTACTTTTCATCAAAACTGATACATCTAAAGTTTAATTCATTAGGAACCTTTGAGAAGCATATATAAGGTTGCATTAAAATTTTTAAATCCAATGAGCTAATTTTAAAAATATGTTTATCTATAAGGCAGTGATTTAAAAGATTAATAAAAACATGGCTTCATTCATAGTTTATTGATTTTTTTCTTTGAGATCATTCCTTTTCTGTTCAATAAATGTGCACTTAATTTAACTATCCATTTACTCAAGTAAAATTTTTAGAAGTTGGAATATGTCCCAAAGAACATGTCCAATTTAGAAGAGTTTAGAGTTTACCTTGTCCTATGCAGAAAGTTGAAGAACCAAGTGAAATCCTACAAAAAAGGAATTATTATTTAGGATAGCACTGATCTCCTATAAAAAAAGATATCCTTATGCCACAAGGATTGTGTTCTTGGCAGGAGAAAGAATGGAGATGAAGTTATTCAATGTTATGAGATAGTAGATTTCATTTCAAAATAAGACAGAAATACACCCAAGACTTGTCACAAAACACCAAGGCTACTCAGAAATGTGAGTACAGGTCACATTTGATATCAGGTGAACTGTCTTTTATCTGAAGGATTTGTGACTTTTTTTAGACCAACTTTTATAGACTATACATCCTGAAAGTACTACTAGATGATGTTCAGGAATCCTATGTGACATATGCAAATGTTTTAAAAATATGCTAAGAATTTTGTGTGTTTTTCTAAAAACCAGTCATGAGTTTTTCCAAGTCAGAATTTCTATATATTCATAGGTGCTTTTGTTATCCCTAGCTTTCCTCTGTATGTTTTTCCATTTATTCCTTGCATTTGTCTTGAGTGCTCATTGAGATAACAAAGTAGTGGAAAAAGTCTGGCCATTTGGCCATTTCAGCACCTCTATTGTATATCAACCTTGAAACAAATGTACAAAAGACTTGGGAGGGTGAATATGAGAATGACTGTAAGGAAGAGGAACCCAGAAATGGTGAGACAAAGGTTGAACTACTTCAGTAGTGGTACTCACTAGACACTGTGTTGAAAATAAACTATATAGGTTGTGGGTGGGGATGGGAAGGAAAAACTGGGGGGGAGAGGGAATGAGGGAGGGGGTGACATTGCCAAAAAGAAATGTACTCTTTACCTGACTTATGGAACTATAATGCCTTTGTACTTCATGTTTACAGTAATTAAAAAAATAAAGAAAGAAGGAAGGATGGAAGGAAGGAAAGAAGGAAGGATGGAAGGAGGGAGAAAGGGAGGGAGGAAAGAAAGAAAGGAAGAAAGAAAGAAAGAAAGAAAGAAAGAAAGCAAGCAGGCAGGCAGGTAGGCAGCCAGGCAAGCGGAAGGTGAACCAATGGAATCTGGACTGAAAGAAATGGCTCTCTTTAGAATGTGGGTGGGAGTGTCATGAGGAATCAAAACAAATTAGAGGTTAGAAAAGAGGACTCCCCACTGCACACACACACACACACACACACACACACACACACACACACACACAATGGTCCTGGGGCTTGAACTCAGGGTCTGGGCTCTGTCCCTGAGCCTCTTTGTACTCAAGGCTAGTGCTCTACTACTTGAGTCACAGCACCAGTTCTGGGTTTTTCTGAGTAATTTATGAAGATAAGAGTCTCACAGACTTTCCTGACTAGGCTGGCTTTGAACCTTGATCTTCAAAATTTAGCCTTCTGAGTAGCTAAGATTACAGGCATGAGCCACCAGCACCTGGCTCTCAAAAGAGGACTTTTTGTTGTTGTTAGTTTTTAGGAATTCCTCAAGTGGCTTTGGATATTGTTTGGAATTAGAGTAACTTAAAACATGTCCTTGATCATAATGTAGTTTTAGCACTTGAAAACTGGTTTCCTGCTTTGAAACAATTCATCAGTGATTCATCTAAGTAATAAAGATCTAAGATCAGAGCATCTGTTTCTTTTTTAAGATTTTTTTTATTGTAAAGATACTGTACAGAGGAGTTACAGTTACATGAGTAAAGTAATGAGTACATTACCTATTGAGCATTGTTGCCCCCTCCTTTGTTTTCCCCCTACCTTCCCTCCCCACCTCCCCAACTGCTCCCCAGCCCCAAGTTGTAAAGTTCGTTTTCAACATAGTGTCTTGTACATCTCCTTGTTACAGTGGGTCAACCTGTATCCATGTTTCAACATTTTGTTATTTCCCTTCCCCTTTCCAAATTAGAAAGAATGTATATACAGGAAGCAGTATATACACAAATATGGTATAAACAGGGGTTATACCATGAGGGAAGAACCTACAAAAGAAACCAAAAATCACATAGTACATTAAAAACAACAGCGACAAAGATATAACCTTCTTGTGTCCCTATCTTGGGATTCATTTCACTTAGCATTGTCTTATATGGGCCTATGTACATAGCTTTTGACCTTTTCTGCTTGTCTGGTAAGAATATCCAAGACATATACTAGTTATTGCAAATAAGGGAAACCATGGGACCTATGTTTCTTTGGGTCTGGCTTACTTCACTTAATATAATTTTTTTCAAGTCTTTCCATTCCCTAACAAATGGTACGGTATCATTCTTTCTGATGCAGGCATAGAATTCGTTATGTATACATACATATATATATATATATATATATATCACATTTTCTTGATCCATTCATCTACTGAGGGGCATCTGGGTTGGTTCCATATCTTGGTTATTAAAAGCAAATCAAAACAACATTGAGATTCCACTTTACCCCAGTTAGAATGGCTGTAATCAAGAACTCTAATAACAACAGATGCTGGAGGGGATGTGGCCAAAAGGGAACCCTACTGCATTGTTAATTTACACTTGTTCAACCACTTTGGAAAGCAGTATGGAGGTTCCTCAAAAGACTACACATAGAGCTGCCCTATGACCCAGCAATCCCACTTTTGGGCATTTACCCGAACGATCACAAACAAGGCCATACTAAAGCTACCAGCACAACTTTGTTTAACAACATTATTCACCAGAGCATCTTTTTCTTAACTTTGAATCTAGTTGTTTATAAAGTCTTGATGAGTTACTGTCCTGAAAGATTTTTTCCCCTGTTTCTGATGGTCTCAGGCACTTGACCATTTTTATTAGGTATTTTAACTGGGGGCTATAACTCATCATTTCGGTTCCCAGAATGGATCACATTTCTGAATGAGGCCTTATAGCTATTCCTATTATGAAGTTTTCAAATTTATTTTGCCAATGAACACTTTTGTATTAAGCATTAACTGAAATGTCAAAATAGGTATGAGTGTCTGGGATTGCTGCTGCCCCACCTCCCACTCTCATAAAATCACTAAGCTACCAAAGGGTGCCAGAATTTAAGAAAGTCTAATTCACTGCTTGTTTTATAACTATTTTCTTTGAGTTCAGGAAACGGAATAACAATGGAGGAGAAAACTACTCTCAACTATGTAAAAAATGACCGTTAGGGAGGGGTTGTAGTGAGCATGACTATAGGAGAAAGAAAGACCTAAAATATGAGGAAATGAACCCTCATGCTGCCCCAAATAGATATTTGTAAGTATTAATCAGTTTGAGACTATAATTGCCCCGCCATTTTTCATGCTTATCCCAAAGAAAATACAATCTGTGAAAATAGGCATATAAAATAAAGCCTATTACCCGGGCATGGTGCACATGTTCGTAATCCTAGCACTCAGGAGACAGAGACAGGAAAGTGAGTTTGAGGATGTCCTGAGTCACCCAGCAAGATCCTTACTCAACTAACAAATAGGTTAGTGCTTTCGTAAAACTGTTTTCTATGGATACCTTATAAAGTCTGCAGCAGTGGCTTTCACCATGTTGTTGCAAAGTGGCAGTTACTTGGACGGGCCTCCCTAAAATCTTACAGAAGAGGCTGGCTTTCCTCCTCATGGGGTATCTGGAAACCCACGGGTCTCCAGAGCCTTCCCATTGAGGGTCAGTGATTTCTGAATGGGAGTGGATAAGGGACCCACAAGAACCATCTGATTTACACACTGACCCATCTGAGAACTCAGCTGTTACAGATGTGTTTAATGATTACACTGCCAGTGAGTTCGTGTCTAATAATTTCCTGGGACCTGATGGTGACATATCTGTAATCCTGCTTCAGTGCTTTTTCCGTCCTGAATCCATGACTGAATGTTTAATCTTTTCTGCTACTTCCTTGTGCGAAGACTCTTCTTCCTCATTACTACTTAACATACCACACACTGGTACCTCTGCCTCGGGAAGGAAGTAAGTCTGTGTGCCAGTGGTGCCAATCACCAGCACATTTTTCTTCAAATCTATGGAACACTGATGTCTCCTGAGCATATCTAGCCCTAAAAGGATGTCCATGGGCTGCTCTTCAAGTATAGAGAAAGAACATTGTAAGAAATCGCCTTCTATTTGAATCTGAGCTAGATGAATGCGGCCCATAATCCTCTGTATGCCCACCCCCTTGGCAACTCCAGCCCAGCGTCGGTCCATCAACCTTATGATGTTGCATCTCTCAGCACACGCCTGGCTCATGATGGTCATCTGAGCCCCCGAGTCAACAAATGCCTTCAGAGGGAGCCCGTTCACTTTGCAGTGGATGTAGAGCATCGCCACCTGTCCAAAGCTCTCGGGGGCCTCCTCCATGGCGATGGTCATGTTTTCTTCGATATTCTGCTGCCGAATCTCTTCTTCTATTTTGGCCTGAACTTCCCGATCAAAGGGATCAGCCGTGTAGAGCCGAAGCCTCTCTTGCTCCCTCAAGGCGATCTCCCTTTGCTGCTCCCTCAAGACCCGAGCAAAGGTGTCCAGGTTGCCGCTGAGCAGAGCATCTGCCAGGACGGGGTTGCGCTCCTTCAGCAGGGACAGGTCGTGGGGATTGGAGAGCAGCATGCTGCGAATCAAGGCAGGGCTGTTTAGACCTGAAGCAGAACCTACCTTCTCCCCCGACGCCAAGCCGTGGGACAGCTGGGCGGATGGCGCCCGCTGTCGGGCCGTGGAGGGCCCAGGTGTGGCAAGCCCACCGAACTCCATGTGATGATGATGGTGATGGTGGTGATTTGGAGCCCTTCCCAGAGGCCGGTGTCCCATATTATCCTTCTGAAGTAATACGACAACGTCTCCATCTTTGAGGCCATAGGAGCCCAGGGAGCAGTGGTCATCCACAAGGAGTCTCTCCAGGTAGATGATCTGGCTCTCTTCAGCAGGGACTCCGGACTCGATCTCACAGAGGACTCGGAAGTTGCAGAGCTCAAAGTCAGGGGCGACATGGAGGGAGAAAGTTCGCTCAGAGAGGTCCCTCCGTACGCAGTATACCGTGATCAGCATGGCAGGGGCCCAGGAAAGCCAGGTGGGCCGGGAGCATGGGTGTGGTTCACTGGCTGACTGGGCTGGTTGCTCCTGATAGCCTGGCTGTTCCTCCCCCACGGGGTTATGTCCTGCAGGGTTGATCTCAGAGGGCCTTAGCTGCTCACCAGTCCCGAGGCTTTCTCCCAGCTCAGTGCCAGCCACAGGGCACATGGAACTTGGAGGTCATAGGCTCTTTTTTATGTGTGCTGTTGGAACTTAGAAGGTTGTTCCCATGAAAACAGACTGTTAGATTCCAAGGCAAGCCATTCAAGACCCACTTGACACCAGATCTGAAAAATATCATCCAAGTCCTCCTCAACAACATGTCAAAATTCATTTTGTTCATTTTGGGGCTGTATGCTGTGTACTTTTACTTATTCATGAAACAAGAAGAGCTTATATCCACCATGGCAAGTGCTATGCTAGGTTCTTATTAGGAAAGATTTGTTGAACTTGATGCCAGACCTTGGGTATTTCACATTCTGTGAAAGGATAAACGTGTATATAGAATAAGCACAATGCTGAAGCTAAGTACATGTACAGACCCTGTTTGATAAGATACTTCTCCAAAGAGGAGACCAGTTGTGCAATGGAGGATGAATTTTTCTGGATGAGTAGTGGTGAGACTCATTCAGGTAAATGGAGTTGTGTATTCAAAGACAACCTTTCTAGACAAGGCCAGAAAGATGAAATGTTCAATGCAATAGGAAACACTTGCATATGAATTTTAGTTGTGGTGTAGAAAGAAGAAGAAAGCTGTTTGAATCCATTTATAAAATGTCGCTTAGGAATCTAAGGAGTTTATGTATGGTGAGTAAGAATTTAAGAAACAGGAAGACGAGGGTTGGGGGAAGAAAGGAAAGGGGGAAATGAGAAAGGAAGAGAAATGGAAGAGATTTCGGGCGGGTATTTTTTTGGCTTTTATTTTCATTTAACTAACTTAAAGAGAAATCCTTAACTTCCCATTATTTTTCCTGTATTTCATAAAGTGATTGATCTGGACAGAGCCCACAGTTCCTGGCTCACTGACTCCTCCCAGATGTGAACCAAAAAGATAGTCATGAACCAAGAGATCAACAATGTTCTCTGCCAGAACCTCCTCCATAATTAGAGGGGCTTTCATTGTGGATTAGGTTTAGTGTCTTGGAAGGGCTGCACATTTGCCTAGAGGAGGATGGGATACGGCATCTGTCTACAGTTATTCTGACTCCTGCTTCTCATGTGTCTTTCTCAAATGAAAAATTATGTCTCACTTACTGCTTTAATTATCACCTGGTTGCCATATCCCCATTATTTTTGTTAGAAATGTTATCTGAATGTCAAGTACATACGAAGCATGTGGTGGGTTCTAGGGATTCAGACGTGATTAATGTTAAATGCAGTTTGTGCTGTTAAAAGTGCTATGATCTGTTAAAAGTGCATGCACACACACACACGCACACAAACTCACACATTGGGGAGACTTTTTTAACTGCACCACACTAGCAGGCTGCACAGCATGGGAGAAATTAGAAGGTGGTAAGGATTGTGGGGCAGTAAAAAGCTTCCAGAAAGAACTGGACTTAGAATGTAACATGGAGTTTGCCATGTCTGAGTGTGGTGGTGTTTTAGAAACAAAAGCTCAAGATGGTTAAAGCTTGGAAAGGCCAGTTTGTACTGAAGGTTTTATTTAAAATGGGGGATGTGGCCCAGAATTTTCCTATAGACAAGCAATAATTATTTCAAGCTATTTTCACTAGTTACAGAGATATAAATCATTCTTTGGTTGAACAATTAAGTCATACAGTTGTTTCTGTGGTTCTTAGCATCCTAGTCATCATTTCCTCAGAGATCAATAATTGTTTCTCCTGAGTTTGAGAACAACTGTGACGTCAGACATCACACTCAAACTACTCTGCTAAAGAACAGCTGGGAACCCAGTATTTCTCTCTCTAATTTTCCAAGGAGTTTTGCACAGTTTGTTCCTAAAACCACATTAAGTTAGGGAGATAATACTAGGGTTTTTGTTTTGTTGTTTCACTATGAGATGAAATTATTTTTGTGGCATAAGCTTTTTTTCTGGCAAACCAAAAATTGAGGGCTTTTATTAAGAAAAATAAACATCTCTTTTCCATATTCCTATTGCCTGAATACTGAACATAATCAAACTTCATGTGATACTTTTTATCTTTCTGTAATTATTTCTCTATTTTTGTGGCAGTTTATGTTTATGTACATTTTACTATTTTACTTGTTTTTTTTTTTTACTATGAGCACATGCTGGAAATCAAAACTCCTCAGGATCTGGCCAATTTATTCTCATCACTCTATAAATCATAGTATAGCAGAACTGTCAGGAATCCTTCAGACCCTGTGATCAAGCTTTCCACCCAGGCCTTCAACCTCTGTTGAAAAACAGCTAAGGTCTGAAAAGACAGACAGTCTCCTGGGGCTGTTCCGTACTTCTGTTTTGTGTATTGTTTGATTCTTTCATTTCCTCAACACTGCTAGTATTTCAAATGCCACAAGTATAATTCTCTTAACTCACAATTATAATTGAGCACTTACCTGAGGATGTAATAGACCAGGGGACCATTGGTAGCACCTACAAATATTGCTTAAATAAGCATTGTGTTAGGCCGTTAATCCCTATAGCACAGGAAATTGATGAAAGGGGGTTAGGAATGGTCTGGGTGGGTTAATCTAGGTAACTGAAGGTTGTGGAAAGTTCTCTTGAGGAGTTCTTTAAATATATTCCCAGACTTTCCCTCCTGGGTAAGTGCAATATGAGAACATAATTGAATCTTTCTTTGATAAGTGAGATTCCTGGAAGGTCTCAGGGCTATCACTTAGAAAATCGATTCTCATTGTATAGCCTAAATACCCAGAAAATAGAAGAGTTGGCAGTGATTTCACACTAGCTAAGTAAGTAACTCTAAAGTTATTTTGTGGAGTAAACCTTCAGTAATACCTTTTATAATTTATCTCATTCTAAAAACTTAATGTAACAACAAAAAAGAATAAGATCATTGCTGATCCCACTTAGAGTCAGTTGGTATTTAAAATGCTGCCTATTGCTTTATGAAACAATAAATTTGGAGTTTATTTTGTGAAAAACATGTAAATAAATATCATTATGAAATATATTCAATAATTCCATGTTAGGCATAGATATTTTTGTTGTCCTGTTGAGATTCTTTCCTTTAAATATGGCTTCATGTCACTTTTCAAGTGTGATCAATACTTACTATACAATTAAGCTATCACTTGAGATTTTCAGAATTTTTCAAATTGCACTTTTAGGTTAAACAATTATTTTCCATGTTTATTTCTTTATAGTCATAAAATAAGTGGTGCCACAGCATTCATAAATGAGTATGTACTTCAATATAGTTGTTTAATTGATATATTAAATTAATGGATATATTAAAAATGAAAAGGCTTGTTATCACCAGACTTTGAAGTTTAAACACCCTAGTAACACTAGCAAAATAAATATATAAATATATGTATATAATTGACCTGAGAATTTAGTTCATATTGGTCTGCTATGTTTATTTCCAATGATTGAAATACAGCAACATTTTGTAGGGTCCTGAATTGAAATGTGGGTAGCTTTTTCTCAGTTCACTGTCACTGTTTTAGCAACATGAAGATTTCCTAACCATGCCCTTCCATTGTAGCTTCTGCTATTCTCCAACCTGTGGGAACATTTTAATGGAAAATAGAAAGAGGCTCTAGCTGGGATCCTTACAAATCCTTTTGGATACTCAATATGAATGTAAATATTTACTGGATGTCATATGTTAATTTAAAATGCTAAGGGTGCTACATATTCTCAATGATATAATAGAACAGTCTCTTAAAGCAATCAGTTTTCATGTTGTCCACAAACTTCACCTTCTGTTACATTAGGACATGGAGAAATGGCATGCATCTGCCCCAAACAGGAAGGGCCCTGTGCCTCCAGCCGTGGACCTCTGCTTCAATAGGTAGTGTATGGTAATATATGGAAATACATCTTCTTTGTTTTCATTTCATGGCAGGACTGAGGTAAATTGAAAGATCTCAAATAAACAAAAAAAGCTCATTATACCACGAGAACATGGTCATTTGGATATTTTAGGAATTATAAGCATGATAGATGATATTTTTACAACTGTCTCATAAAAGATAAAATTTCCAGATTGTTGTTTATATAGCTTTCTCTATTCTAAATAGCATCTGAGTTAACTGATTGTTGTGGTAATTAGTGTGGCTTTAGCCCATCTGTCTATAGAATTTAATTATATTCCAACCGTGAAAATGGAAAACAAAGCTTGATAAACAAAAGTTTCATTTTTTTAGATCATAATTAAAAGATGAGTTAATTCACCTTCTATTTTTCTCAGAAAAATTAAATGTAGTAGTCTACATATCAAGAGAATGCTTAGACCATCCAACTTACACAGGTCCACAGTGTTTCCTTTATGTGATTAGAATGGCTGTAGAAAGTTTTCGTGGATTGTCTCTGTTCTTGGAGATGTAGAACTCTCTCACTCAATGTAGAACTCTCTTACCCATCTATGTTCCATTATCCTTTCCATTCCACTTAGGAATATTCTGTTTCACCCAGCTCAGAACATGTGCTTAACCAATGACAGGCTCTTGTTTACTTTAGATTGGTAAAAATCATTCACTGAAGCCTATTCATTGATGTCTCTCTTTGAAGCCCCCCGAGTAAAAGAACTAATCAGAGTCACCGCGTATGCTGGCTTTCAAAATCAGAGACCCAATTTATGACATTGAGGGAGAAAAAGATAACATTATTGATTTTTTTCTTTACAAACTATAAATGAAATGGAACAAAATGTCTCAGGCAACCGTAACAAAACTGTTTTTGAGTTTTATGCCTCTGCAATGCCTTTAAAAAAAAAACCCTTCACAACACTATAACTTTAAACAAAGCCTTGATTTTATTTCAGGCACTCCCAGCAGTGTTTTTATCCAGAATGCAGAGCTGTTGTGGGTCCCTGTGCCTGTGGCTAAGAGACATTGGACCTGATGTTCTAAGCATAATCGTAAATTACTATTTATACTACATGAAATACACAAGTACTAGATTGACATCAAAAAGTAAAGCTCTACCAAAGTTAGCATAGTTGATATTACAATTGGGCTCAGGAGCTATTTTTTATAGAAAGTTTAAAGCAAGCAGGAATATCCACGTTATCGGGAACCATTTTGAAAACAAAGAAACAGTGACCAAATCAAGTAGGAGTGATGAGTATTTGCAGAAATTGAAATGTAGCAAATTTATTCATCAGTCTCTCAGGTTTCTGCCCTGCTTCTTATTGGAAAGATCTTTCTTTATTGAATAGAATTTTTCATCTTAAATAACTAGAGCCATTCTAGAGATAAGGTAGCTCCCTTAGGGGAAAAAAAAACAGATTCATAATGCTATGCTTTCAATCTAATAGGCTCTGTAGTAATCAGTGCTCACCCCCAAAACATGAGATTCATTCTTCAAAAGTCCCAATCTGCTCTTGTGACCAAAAAAATAGTCAACAAAATACAGGAATCTTTAAAGATGAGTGGAAAAATGCAACAAATATGTGTTATTCTCTCCTTGTATAAAATGGCAATATTCTATCAAAATATTCTGGAAAAGGTGTTCTCAGCACACCCCAGTAGATTGACCAAAACTGGACACAGATAAATGATAAAGCCTATTGTGTCTTTAAAGTCAGAAAGGTATAGCTTAAATTCTGTGCATTTGTTTCTGTCCTGAATGCCCTTGGACAAAGCATCAATTCTCTGAGTTTCATTATCCTCTTATGTGAAATGGTGCTGAGACAACAATTTATTTTCCATAGGATTTAGTTGTAGATCCAATCAGTACTTTGTAGTCTTGTAAGTAGCAAGGCACTCTAACAAAATCAGTTATTTTTCTTTTATGGGTAAAAACCATTAATAAGAAGAAAGACTGGGATTGGCAAATCTTAAATGAAACATGTAGATTAAATTGTAAACTCCTAGGTGACTTGGAGTAGATGCAGTTGTGCTGTTAGAGGTGTCACTCCACCCTTCATCTTTGCTTTCCAGGATGCTCTGGACAGTAGGTAGCAAGACTTGTTTACCAAATCAAAACCAGAATGACATGTCCTTCAAAAGTGGTGAAGCAGTCTTCTTGAAAATTAAAGAGAAAATAGCCAGGTCCCTGTTAATAAGATGCTTATAGCTATTGAGAAATGGAAAAAGAACATAGTAAGAAGACTTATTCCCAGCAATGAGAAAGTGTTTCCTGTTAAGTCAGATTAGAGCTGCTATTACTGTTGGAGCTGATATGTCACAATCACCCGCAGATGATTGTTAGAACAAAGAGCCTCATTCCATACGGCACTGCGAAGAAAGTGACAGAGATGAGCACATCCAATACTGAGAGTGGAGCTCAGACTGTTTAGGAATGAGTGGTTTAATGAGGATGCCGTAGGATTTTCCTCTAGATAGTCTGGCAGCCATCTACCTATACAGTCCCTCAGAGAACTGCGACTTTGATCAAGGTCACTGGTCCTATGACCCTGAGAAAACAGTTGGAGTCTCTTAGACAGGAACCTCAATCTTTTTTTTTTATCATATTCCTTATTAATTTATTTTTCAAACTCAAACTCAATTTGTATATACTTAAACTGTGTATATTAAGGCATAACTTACTTTAAAATGACAGATAGTCTATAAATGAGTCAGTTAAAAAAATCTGAAGAGAATTTCAAATATTTTTCTGCCTTTCCCAATGCATATATGTATATGTATATGTATGGTTCATACTGGTGTGTGTGTGTGTGTGTGTGTGTGTGTGTGTATCAATATGAGCCATACTTCTGAGACTTTTAGTCTCTGACCCTTTGAAGGCATAGCCACCGAGCAGACTTCTTTCATATTGGCAAGGATTATGGAAAAAGCAAAGCAATAGCAGGAAAATCAGGAACACAACTCCACTTACCGCCACCTCATCACATGCTGTCTATGCACACAGAGCGTATGGGAGCCGCCCTGCTGCTATCAGGTGATAGGAGCAAGTCCAAGAGGAAAGGGAAGAATAGAAAAACCAATTTAATAGACTTGACTGCTGTTCTCCATTGTCTGGGAGACCGTACCAGTGAATGAACAGCACTTCAACTTTGTGAGCAGACACTACAGCTCTGCTGGGCCAAATCTCTCGTGGCCCACATTTATGTTCTATAAATGCTGACAACTTCTCATCTCTTCCTCGGGAGGGCTGTGGGGGAGGGGCTGTCTTTGTGTCTTGGTTTCAGCACCCTAGGGAGTTCTCTCAGACATCCTCAGTCACTGGTTGTTCCATACCACACTCCAGGGACAGCTCTCAAGTCTTACTTTTGTCTCAATACCAGAGAAAGGCAAGCTACATCCATATCCCTCTCTCAGATCCACTTCTGAGGAAGAATAAGAATTCCTTATGCTATTTGGCAGAGTGGAGGGAGTTACATTGTATTGTGTTTGGTTTTCTTAAATAATTTCTTCTAGAATTTCAAATAATGCATGTAAATGTTTACTGACCATCACAGTGGATTTGCACCTTCCACCATCTTATCAAAAATCTTGGTTCTTGGATCAAGGTTTCCTAACTCTACATGTTTCACAATTCAACCTTTGCCATAGATGGGCAATATTAGTATAATTGTACATATAAGTATACATATATAAAATTAGAATGTATAATAAATTTGGAATTGATTTTTTAAGGATATGTACTTTTTTAATTTAATTTAATTTAATTTGTGAACATACTGTACAGAGGAGTTACAATTACATGGGCAGGATAATGCGTACATTTCCTACCAAGCATTGCAGCCTCCTCCTTTGTTTACCCTTCACATCCCTTCCCAGCCTCCCCCCTAAGGATATGTACTTTGTGTATACTTAGGTTCCATTTCCCACTTTAAAACTTTTATTTCTTTTCTATATAGGCTCACATTTAAAAATATCCTCGTGGTGGAATCTTGTTTATGTCTGAGAAATTCACCTGCTACGGATTTAGGGACTTAACTTAAAGCACCAGTCACTTAGGCTCCTAAGGCAAATTGTACCGTGTAAGGCTGGTAAGACACATTCTATACTCGGTCACAAATTCTTGTGGTCAGTACTTCAATAGGGGTTATATAAATTTAACACTTATGTGTGCATATAGATAATTTGTAGGCACATTTTTGACAGTCCTGTGTTTCTCCTTGTTTTGAACATAGCAAATATTAGAGAGAGTTAGTGCACACAATTCTGTCAATGTACTGTGATGCCATGAAGAAACATTCATACAGACCATGTGCAAAATGACTAGAAATGCAAAAATCACAGAACAAAAGTATCGAGTTCATTGAACTATATCACCTTCAGATGCATTCTTGAAGCATTTAACTGAAGATATTAATGTTTTACCAGCCTTAATAGTTGTGCAAGAAGAATTCACTCTGAAATGTCCGCCTGTACATAAAATGTACCTTGATCAAGTCTCACCTTCTCTTATCACTCTCCTTCATCCCTTTCCCCAACCAAATCCCCATAGGTATCATTGTTCCATTTTTATAGATGTACATGAGGTATACTGACCATTTCATGCTTCTCTACCCTGTTTACCCTCATCCTTCACCCTAGTTTACACACTAACTCATTTTTCCCATTCGATCATCTTTTTCTGTGGTATGATGTGAAAACATCTTGTTGACAATAAATGTCCAAATGTGTATTTTATAGAACCATAATGCTCGGTGGAATGACAGAAAGCCACTCTTCAGTCAGATGACTTCTTTCCTTGGAGCCATTACACACATGGCACACAGGTTTAAGTTTACAAAAGGTTGTGAAGAGCAAAAGATTTGGGGGGAATGTTTAGAGTCCATGTGAAGTCGTTGTTTCCCACATTGGTACACCATTTTAATTAAATGAACAATGTTCATATATTAAAATGTAGCTAATGATGGAGACACAGGTTGTGGTAAATTCATTTGGAATTTGGCTTTTAGACATAACAGGAAAATTATGCTTCATAAAAAATTCAAGAGTACAGATGAGATGCAGTTGGCTTTTTAACCACACTGTAACTTCCTCTTGAAAATAAATAGATGCAATTGGAGTTTATTGGCAGGGAAAAAAATCTGAACATATGGGTCTGTACCTGCTACTTACATAAACTTAATAGTTACATAATATGTTTTTTTGAAAAAGATGTGCAGTTTCTTAAAAATAAATCAATAATATGCTTTTATATTCAAAAGTAGGAAACATGGCCCTCTACCCCTACACACACACACACACACACACACACACACACACACGCACACACACACACACACACAAAACCAACAGTTCTTAAATGTTGCATAGAAATAGCAGTTCTAGGTTGGTTCTGTGCATCTGTATTTGGTAAATACAGTGAAAGAGAGAAACTTCACTTGAATTATAAAACCAATAACAGAAATTACTGCAGCCTTTGAGATCAGCAGCTCCTTGCAAAGACAGGCTGGCTGACATTCTGTTTGACATGCATCAGAGCCAAGATGTTTCTAGTTCAGAAAGATGTAAATAAAACACTGCTCAGAAAGCACTTTTGTTGCTTGTCTTGCAGCTGTTATCTTACTAGAGATTTGGGTTATTTAATTATACCTTTTTCCAAAAGACACTCAAGGTCATAGTTAGAACAGATTTTTAATTGTATACCAAACTATAAGAAGTGGAACATTTTACCCAAGAGACCCTGCTACCCATAAACTGTAGCCATTTTATTCAGTGAGCTACCACAGACTTTGGCTACAGTTGCCAAATCTAAGGATTGTGTATATTTTTTCCCCTTTGGGCAGTACTTGTTCTATAGTTTTCATGTTTGGATATCTGGAAGAAGAAAGCCCTAAACCTTGGAGAAAAAAAAGCATAATGTTTTACATTCTATGTGGTTATAACCACATAGTATGTTGGAAGGTTTTGAGACAGCAACCAACATACCCAGAGACCTTTGCCTGGCAGTGTCTGGCATGAACCAACCCCAGAATTGTCTATCTCTGACTTCTTGTGGTACATGTTTTTCCATGTGGCTTAAGTCACTTTTCAGCTTGGTTCTCTTCCTTGACTGCCAAAATTACCCTACAAGATCAGTGGGTTGATTAAACATAGAGTGCTGTGCAGATAAATGGAAAGGCCCCTCGGTGCAGAATTGTGGTAAGACTTAGGTAGCAAGTAGTTCTTGACAGTTCCCCTTCAAGAATTGATCAATGGAGAAAGAATGTGCTTCTATGGAGATTTTGGACTCTGTAGTTCAAACATAAAATTGGTAGCAAAAATGGAGGATTCTAGATGAATGGCATGTGTTTGTTCAACTTGAGTTGCCTAAAAGTAGGCCATAGATTGAGCACTGGTAAATGCTGTTTGGAGAAAGTTAATGTGAGCTATTGGAAAACTAGTTTTTGCAGGGAATATATTAGTTGCAATCCAAAAATTCTTTTTTTTAATTATCATTATATAGGTAATGTACAGAAAGGTTACAATTTCGTAAGTAATGAGTATATTTCTTTTTGAATACTATTACCCTTTCCCACACTTTCTTTCAGTTTTTCCCTCCTGACTCTCCTTCCCAAGTTATAGAGTTCATTTTCAACATAGTGTTTAATGAGGGTCACTACTGCATTTGTTCACCCTTTGTTCTACCATTTCTGTGCTTCCCCCATCCTTCTCCCAAACAGTATACTTACATACAAGACAAAAGGCACAGAAGACAAAAACAACAAGGGAGAAAAAAACAAAAACAAACAGCAAAGTAACAAAAAAAATTGCTTCCATTTCTTGGAGTTCATTTCAATAAACTTTATTTTATATGATCAGATACACATAGCTGTTGAGCTTTGGTGATTTTTTCCTATGAATATCCTCCTTTGGCTCACTGTTTGAATGCCTACAGCCCTGTATAATTTATGATTGTCCAAGGGATTTTTTTTTGTCTTTTGCCACCCAGTGTGTTTACTTGTAGATTTATAGACACACTCTAGTTACAACAAATGAGGAAAACCATGCATCCTATGTTTCCTTGGGTCTGGCTTACTTGGTTTAATATAATTTTTTCCAAGTCTTTCCATTTTCTTGCAAATGGTACAATATCATTCTTTCTGATGGACATGTAGAATTCCAATGTGTGTATATATACCACATTTTCTAGATCCATTCGTCCTTCGACAATTCCATATCTTGGTTATGCAAACAATGCTGCAAGTAACATGGTAAACGAAGATTGTCCCATTTAGTAGTCACAAAAGGAATTTAGTTCACTGATTGCAAGCTTCAGAGTCTTAGCAAACACTGAGGAAGAAAAATGTCAAATCAGTTTTCATGCTGATCTTTAAACTAACATTATTAAATTCTAATTTTTACTGGTACCAGTTCACATGGTGCGACTACAACCTTGTACTTTTTAAGTTAGGAGATAATTCATATAAAATTACCTAATTAAATTCAATTTAGAGTATTTTAGGCACCATTTCACAAACTGACCTATTTATTTTGAAATTAGGGATTTCTTGTCCTACTTTCTTTTTGTTCGACAACTATTTCAAGTTTCTTTTGTGTCTGTTCAACAATACACTACAGCATGTCTCACCACTTACTGTTTTTCATCCTAGGATACTCTTCTATACAATACTTTATTTGTTGAAGGAGAGTACAAAAGTCATTGGAAAGGTGAATGATAATAATAATATGAAATCAACAACAATCATAATAGTAGATGCATTTGCAAAGTAGAGAACTAAGCTTCCTCAGATTTCTAGTCTCAGATATTTGCATAAGTTGAGAACATGTGGGTAGTTAATCACCTGATTTCAAGTGTTGCTCAATAATAATCAATTATAATAAACCTGAGAACAGACTTCAAACACAATAACAAATTCTCCTGCTCTTACTGTAGTCTTGTTAATATATTTCTTTCTGGGCCATTTGCTTAATTAGCATAGATTAATAGTACAAGGGTGTTTCTACAGAGAGATAGTGTCCTTTAAACAAGTTCAAAAC